AGACCAGAGTAGACAGAACAATTGAGTGCCACAAGGCTTGGTCAATTACCCGAGGCTTCACACAACAATACAGAGTGGACTATGAGGAGACCTTTGCTCTAGTTGTCAAAATGACAACCATTCCCATACTACTCATTGTTGTTGCTGCCAAACAATAGCCATTATGCAAAATGGATGTAAAAGATGCTTTCTTACATGGACATCTCACTGAGGACATCTACATGACTCCACCTCCTGGACTTCTTAACTCTAAGGGTCTTGTTTGCCATCTACGATGAGCCATCTATAGCCTTAAATAGGCACCTTACGCATGGTTCGCTCGGTTCACACACGTCATATAACCAGTAGGCTTCCTTCCTAGTGAGAATGATTAGGCCATGTTCATCTCTTCCTCTGATGGACATCGTATAATTCTACTCCTATTTGTCGATGACATGATCATTACTAGTGACAACCCATCATCTATCATCCAAATCAAATCTCACCTCTTTTATGATAAAAGATCTAGGCGACTTATATTACTTCCTCGGGCTGGAGATCAATCACACTCCACAAGGCTACCATTTCTCTCAGTAGACGTTTTCTAAGGACATCATCAATAGTGCCAACCTAGCAGATCCCAAACCAGCTCGGACGACTCTTGAATTGAATGTGAAGCTCAAAGCCATTGACGATGACCCACTACCTGATGCCACACAATATCAATATCTTGTAGGAAGCCGAGTATACCTCACCCTCATTAGACCTAATATTTCACACGTTGTTCATGTTCTCAGTCAGTTTGTTGTTGCTCCACATTCCTCTCACCAAGCCACACTACTTTGTGTTCTATGATACCTTTGTAAGAATCCATGTAGGGCGATGTTCTTTTCAACATCATCATGACTAGGTAGGCAAAACTACAGACTGATGATCCACTACTGGCTATTGTACTTTTATGGGTGACTCCCTCATCTCTTGGAAATTCAAGAAACAAGATGACGTCTCTTGCTCCAATGCGGAATTAGAATATCATTCCATGGCGTCCACCACCATAGCATATCGTTTGGCTACAACGATTCCTTCTTGACATAGACATCCACTCCACAATGGCAACTCTTCTTCATTGTGACAACATGAGCACAATCAAAATCGACAACAATCTTGTATTTCATGGACGAATGAAGCATATTAAGATCGACAGTTATTTTACTCGTCATTGTTTTCTGGTTGGCACAATCTCACTTCCCGATGTGAATATTGACCTTCAGCTAGTAGATATATTCACCAAAGCTCATACCATACGACATGTTTCTTCTTAACAAACTACCATTGGTCAACCAAATTGCAGTTTGAGGAGGGTGTTAAATATTGTATATACAGATCTTGTTTAGTCCCACATTGGGTAGAGTAGTAAAACAATTCTATTTACGTTGTATATATAGACATCATTATCAATAAAGATAGATATCATTTTCTCCTGATTTGCTCTGCATTTAACATGACTAATAGCACAACCCAAAAGGCTTTTTTGCCCTCAAGTGAACTAATATTGTATTAATGCATATATTTAGGGGGGAAATACAAAATTTGGGTAGGAGTTGTCAAAAAAAGACATACTACTCTATACCTGTCACAATACAAGAAACTACATATTCATTTAACAAAACACATTCATAAAAAACTAAAACATCTAATAAACAAAAAATTCTTTCAACAAAGTATAAATAATAATTTTGCATGAAAAGGGTTCTTTTCAATATTAATCCCCTAAGTTTCTCAGATTTGAAATTAGTCCTCCAAAATCTTAATATTTAGAAATGAGTCTCCAATTATTCAAGTGCTTTGAAATTACATCATCTAGTAAGTACAAAAATATTACTAAAGTCATGAACATGACTCATTGACTTGATCTTCTCATCAATTTCTTATCCATTCACATCATATCTTTGTGTACTCGCACTTTCAAATTTGATTGTTCAAGTTGAGAGATTTAAACATATGTCTTAATCTCGATACTATATTGCTTCATGTATAGGGGTGGAAGTGAACCGAATAATTAATAAATAGTTCGGTTATTATTCGTCCAGATATTCGATCAAGTTTGATTCGATAGTTTATTTAGTACTAAACAAATAATTTTTAGTATTCAGCTTATAAATGAATAGAATTTAACCAAGGGTATGTTCAATTTAGTAGTTCATTAACTATTTGATAACTTTTTACATTTTAATCCTATTAATTGAACTTATTGCTAATATTACTTATCTAAATTTTTATTTACAAATGCTACCCATATAAATAGGTAAGAGTGGGTTCTAGGGCTAGGGTTTTCTCCTTTGTATGAGTTGTTTCTATCCGCCTCCACCCTTCAGCTCAGACTCTAGGGGTCGGTGGATCGCTCCTTTCTCCTCTCACAGTCTCTGCCGTCCCGCTCTCTACCCCATTGACTCCCGTTCTCTTTCCGTCGACTCTTGCTCCTTTTTCCTTTTGGCCTCCAGTCTCCGGCGTGCTATTCCCCCGTCAACGACTTGAAGATCTCATCCTTTGTTGACTCTATCTTTGCCCTGGAGTCATTCACTACTCCCCCCCCGCCCCCAACGTTCTCATCCGCCCCTCCGCTTGTGTCTCTACCCATCTCTACCTCCCCTAACTCAATGAAAGTCTAACAGCGTCACCTTTATCTCCCCAATCAATCACCTCTTCATCAAAATGTAAATCGAAGCTTAAAGTTACCATTTCATTAATTTTTAACTTAAATTAGTTGCTAAAGATTACTTCTTTATGCCTTTTGCAGATAATTTTACAGAAAATCTGATCTAATCTCTTGTGGATCTATAATTTCCTAAATTTTTTAGGTTTAATGTCTATATTTCTATAGAATGCACTATATGTTTGTTTTTAATTTCGAATAATTAATAAATAGGTATCAAATATTAAACAAATAATGTGGGGGAAATTATAGTATGGTGTTAAATGAATATTCACGAATAATTATCGAACGTGAATGAATGTTGTCAAATTGAATTTGAATAGTCATTTAGTATTCGACTCGAATATGATCACAAATTTGAATATATGAAAATGGACCGAATTAGAATTCGAATAGGTAGTTATTCGCTTCAATTCGGTCGTTTACCAGCCCTATTCATGTAGTTCGATACACACACGTGCACAAAACAAGCCATTAAAATTTTAATTAGTCTAAAATCTTGTTTATTTTTGGAGGAGTTTAGGGTCACATAATCTTCATTGATAGTTGATTGATAAGAAAAAAGCAGATTTTCCACAGGTAACACCCGTTAGAGGGCTGAAGTTGGTTGCGCTGACGTGTCCTCTAATATTCAAGTCAGTAAATAGCTTAAACAAGTTTATAGAATCTAATTTTAGGATGTTATACATGAATTTTTGCATACCTTCGAACAGTGAAGATTGCTCATTATTTATAAAGGGTTAACAAGATCACATTAGTAATATAACCAGGCATGTGCAGTTCGCTGATCAGATCGCACTTTACACGTGTCGACAGTCTGTTTAATGAGTCAGCTTTACATTTAATACGACAATACTAGAACGACTAAAGTGCTGACATCATTGAGTAGTCATAACTTTAGCTCGAAAAGTCAAAATGTCTCTAACCCAGCATTAAATGCGATGATGCTTGGGCGGCGGAGTATGGTTATTGAAGTTGATAGGTCATCGTCATTTGAGACATTTCTTAGCGAGAGCACGAGTAGAAGACACCTTTTGTCTAGGATTTGGGGTCTTCCTGCAGATCCCAGCTTGAAGACTCCTTTCATCTTGAACTTGGGCTGCCAGAGAGGTCGGCGATGCTCACACCCAAGTTGGGCTTTCAGATTTATAGGACTCGGTCAGTTAATCATGATACGTATCCGACTCTTAAGTCATTAGACTTAGTAATTCTCAGGATATAACAAAGTCCGTCTGCCAAACAGTAATGGTGAATCGGTCTTTGAAAATTAACGACGATGACTATTTCTTTTTCAACTCCGAGAAGAGACGTCTCTCCAAAAAGAGAAAATAAATCTTGGGCAAAAAAAGTGTGGTTGTTTTTTGGCTGCTCATGAAAACTAAAAGCGCAAAAAGGAAGAAAGAAAGAAAGTGTGTCAAAAAAGAAAAAAAGTAAGGGTAAATTTGTTCCAATATTTTAATTACCTCTAGATGATTAGTATCTGGATGTAAATGTGAGTACGATATCAGTTTAAATTAGTCATCATTCTGGATATTTCGTAGTACCACCTTAAAAATAGTTCGAACCAATTAAAAAAACATAATATTACTATAGCTTGATCATTATTTAAAGGTTAAAAACTGTTACTTCAGATTAAACATTGGATAAAGGGGCAAAAAAATTTTATTATAGCATATAGAGTATACTTATTCAAAATTTATACTGTAGCACAATATTTATGGGGAAAAAATCATTGCTGCTCCAACAATATCTATGGTTGAGACTGATAATATTTATGTAGCATAAATAATAATTTTAATATTCTGAATCATTTTGTAGCAAGAACACTGCAAACAATAACTTTAATATTCTAAATCATGGTGCAACTAGAGTAGTGTTTACTATAGCGCAAATAGTAATTTTTGAGTTTTGCTTTTAACTTAGAACTAATATGTTGACTGACTCCCAGTTAGAGAATCTAAAAACAGACTCGGAGAAAATATTGAAATCTACATGTAAGCATATAGCTCTGTAAGAATTGCTATTGTTCATACGTTACCAATTGACGAACATCAAAGGTAAACAAAGTTAAAATGAAATTATTTTGAATCATTCTGTAGCAAAGGGCAGTAATTTGAATATTATGAATAATTTTGCAGTAGGAACACTGTAAACAGTAACTTTAACGTTCTGAATCATCATGCGACGAGAGCGCAGATAGATATGTCGAGATAAAGTTGTTGCCTTGGCCAGGCAAACCCCTAAACCCTCATCTCCCTCTCCCGCTACGATCACCGCCCATCACTCCCCTTTCTTCTTACCACCGCCGATGAATCTCCAATACCTTCCCGCAAGCGGTTATCTCCACCGCCGGAGTCCGGTTACCGCCTCCTCCAGTCCACGTAAGCTCTCTCCACCTCTTTCTAGCTTTTCTCCGAGCATAATTAACACAACCCCCTTGTCAGTCCCCAAAATTTCTTCCAAGCCCCCTTCACTTCCCTCCCTCCTGAAAACCCTAGACTCCACCAACCTTCAATCGATCCCCACTGAAACCTTAGACTCCCTCCTCTCGAATCTCACCCCCAAGGAGCAAACCGTAGTTCTCAAATCACAGCGGAATTGGAGGCAGCTCCTTCTCGTTTTCAACCGGTTCAGATCTCAGATTAGCTACAACCCTAACCCAATTCATTACAATATAGCACTGAGAGCGTTGGGGAAGGCTAAGAAATGGGATGAGTTGAGGATTTATTGGGTTCAGATGGAGAAAGATGGGGTTTTTCCAACTAACAACACTTATGGAACCCTAATTGATGTTTTTTCTAAGGGAGGTTTGGTAAAGGAGGCTCTTTTATGGCTCAAACACATGAAATCTAGGGGGGTTTTCCCCGATGAGGTCACGATGAATACTGTGGTTAGGGTTTTGAAGGATTCGGGGAAATTCGATGTTGGTGAGAAGTTCTTTAAGAGTTGGTGTAGAGGGAAGATTGAATTGGATATTGTTGATCTTGGGTCGGGCTGGGAACAGGGATTTTCGAGAGAGAATAAGCCTAGGCTTGCTGCTACTTACAATACATTGATTGATTTGTATGGGAAAGCTGGGAGATTGCAGGATGCTTCGGATTGCTTTAAAGAGATGTTGATATCAGGAGTTGAGCCTGATGCTTTCACTTTCAATACCATGATTAATATTTGTGGGTCTTGTGGGCAGTTATCTGAGGCTGAATCTTTGCTGGAGAAGATGGAGGAGAGGAGAATTAAACCGGATACTAAAACATATAACATTTTTATGTCTCTTTATGCTTCAAGAGGGAATGTTGATGGTGTATTGAGATGTTATAGGAGGATTAGAGAGATTGGTCTTCGTCATGATGTTGTGAGTTCTAGGATAATATTGCAAGTATTATGTGAGAAGAAGATGGTTCATGATGCGGAGAATGTGATTGCGGATATCATGGCGATGGGTGGAAATATTGATGAGCAGTGTCTGCCTGTTATAATAAAAATGTACATTGATGAAGGATTGCTTAGTGAGGCAAGTATCTTTTTCGAGAAATATTGTTTTGGGAGGGAGATTTCTTCTAAGAATTATGCAGCTCTTATGGATGCTTATGCAGAAAAAGGATGTTGGAAGGAAGCAGAGGATGTCTTCTATGCAGAGATGACTAGAGAAAGAAATAAGGATATAATTGAGTATAATGTAATGTTAAAAGCTTATGGTAAGGCTAAGCTTTATGATAAAGCTCTCAACTTGTTTGAGAGCATGAGAAATTGTGGAACCCCACCAGATGAATGCACTTATAACACATTAATACAAATGCTTTGTGGGGCTGAATTGCTGGACAGAGCAACAGAACTCTTGAGAAATATGAAAGAGGCTGGATTCAGACCGAGATGCGAGACTTTTTCTGCTATAATTTCTGGTTATTGTCACACCGGTTTTGTTTCTGGGGCTGTTGAGGTCTACCAAGAAATGAAGGCATCTGGTGTGGAGCCAATGGGGAAAAAATCATTGCTGCTCCAACAATATCTATGGTTGAGACTGATAATATTTATGTAGCATAAATAATAATTTTAATATTCTGAATCATTTTGTAGCAAGAACACTGCAAACAATAACTTTAATATTCTAAATCATGGTGCAACTAGAGTAGTGTTTACTATAGCGCAAATAGTAATTTTTGAGTTTTGCTTTTAACTTAGAACTAATATGTTGACTGACTCCCAGTTAGAGAATCTAAAAACAGACTCGGAGAAAATATTGAAATCTACATGTAAGCATATAGCTCTGTAAGAATTGCTATTGTTCATACGTTACCAATTGACGAACATCAAAGGTAAACAAAGTTAAAATGAAATTATTTTGAATCATTCTGTAGCAAAGGGCAGTAATTTGAATATTATGAATAATTTTGCAGTAGGAACACTGTAAACAGTAACTTTAACGTTCTGAATCATCATGCGACGAGAGCGCAGATAGATATGTCGAGATAAAGTTGTTGCCTTGGCCAGGCAAACCCCTAAACCCTCATCTCCCTCTCCCGCTACGATCACCGCCCATCACTCCCCTTTCTTCTTACCACCGCCGATGAATCTCCAATACCTTCCCGCAAGCGGTTATCTCCACCGCCGGAGTCCGGTTACCGCCTCCTCCAGTCCACGTAAGCTCTCTCCACCTCTTTCTAGCTTTTCTCCGAGCATAATTAACACAACCCCCTTGTCAGTCCCCAAAATTTCTTCCAAGCCCCCTTCACTTCCCTCCCTCCTGAAAACCCTAGACTCCACCAACCTTCAATCGATCCCCACTGAAACCTTAGACTCCCTCCTCTCGAATCTCACCCCCAAGGAGCAAACCGTAGTTCTCAAATCACAGCGGAATTGGAGGCAGCTCCTTCTCGTTTTCAACCGGTTCAGATCTCAGATTAGCTACAACCCTAACCCAATTCATTACAATATAGCACTGAGAGCGTTGGGGAAGGCTAAGAAATGGGATGAGTTGAGGATTTATTGGGTTCAGATGGAGAAAGATGGGGTTTTTCCAACTAACAACACTTATGGAACCCTAATTGATGTTTTTTCTAAGGGAGGTTTGGTAAAGGAGGCTCTTTTATGGCTCAAACACATGAAATCTAGGGGGGTTTTCCCCGATGAGGTCACGATGAATACTGTGGTTAGGGTTTTGAAGGATTCGGGGAAATTCGATGTTGGTGAGAAGTTCTTTAAGAGTTGGTGTAGAGGGAAGATTGAATTGGATATTGTTGATCTTGGGTCGGGCTGGGAACAGGGATTTTCGAGAGAGAATAAGCCTAGGCTTGCTGCTACTTACAATACATTGATTGATTTGTATGGGAAAGCTGGGAGATTGCAGGATGCTTCGGATTGCTTTAAAGAGATGTTGATATCAGGAGTTGAGCCTGATGCTTTCACTTTCAATACCATGATTAATATTTGTGGGTCTTGTGGGCAGTTATCTGAGGCTGAATCTTTGCTGGAGAAGATGGAGGAGAGGAGAATTAAACCGGATACTAAAACATATAACATTTTTATGTCTCTTTATGCTTCAAGAGGGAATGTTGATGGTGTATTGAGATGTTATAGGAGGATTAGAGAGATTGGTCTTCGTCATGATGTTGTGAGTTCTAGGATAATATTGCAAGTATTATGTGAGAAGAAGATGGTTCATGATGCGGAGAATGTGATTGCGGATATCATGGCGATGGGTGGAAATATTGATGAGCAGTGTCTGCCTGTTATAATAAAAATGTACATTGATGAAGGATTGCTTAGTGAGGCAAGTATCTTTTTCGAGAAATATTGTTTTGGGAGGGAGATTTCTTCTAAGAATTATGCAGCTCTTATGGATGCTTATGCAGAAAAAGGATGTTGGAAGGAAGCAGAGGATGTCTTCTATGCAGAGATGACTAGAGAAAGAAATAAGGATATAATTGAGTATAATGTAATGTTAAAAGCTTATGGTAAGGCTAAGCTTTATGATAAAGCTCTCAACTTGTTTGAGAGCATGAGAAATTGTGGAACCCCACCAGATGAATGCACTTATAACACATTAATACAAATGCTTTGTGGGGCTGAATTGCTGGACAGAGCAACAGAACTCTTGAGAAATATGAAAGAGGCTGGATTCAGACCGAGATGCGAGACTTTTTCTGCTATAATTTCTGGTTATTGTCACACCGGTTTTGTTTCTGGGGCTGTTGAGGTCTACCAAGAAATGAAGGCATCTGGTGTGGAGCCAAATGAAATTGTTTACGGGTCATTAATAGATGGGTTTGCTGAGTCTGGAAGAACTGAGGATGCAATTAATTATTTCAAAATAATGGAAGCATCTGGACTTACAGTTAATCGAATAGTCCTTACTTCTCTGATTAAGGCTTATACTAAGGCCAGCAGCTGGAAAGAGGCACAAGAGGTGTATGCAAAAATAAAGAACTTGGATGGTGGTCCTGATACAATTGCCTCAAATTGTATGATCAATCTTTATGCTGGACTTGGGATGGTGAATGAAGCTAAGTTGATATTCGAGGACTTGAGGAGAGATGGTCAGGCTGATGGTGTTTCTTATGCCACTATGATGTATCTTTACAAAAATATGGGCTTATTAGATGAGGCAACCTATATTGCTGAGGAGGCACAACTCTCAGGCTTATTGACTGATTGTGCTTCTTACAATAATGTCATGACTTCTTATGCTAATAGTGGAAAGCTAAAAGAATGTGCAATGTTGTTAAATCAAATGTTGAGTCGCAGAATTATTCCGGATTCTTCGACATTCAAAATTTTATTTACCATATTGAAAAAGGGTGGCCTTGCACCTGAGGCAGTATTGCAGTTGGAGTCATCCTACACTGCAGGAAAACCATTTGCTAGGCAGGCTATAATAACTTCCATATTTTCCATGGCGGAGTTTCATTCTCTTGCACTAAAATCTTGCGAAGCCTTCTTGAAGGCTGAGGTTCGTGTTGATACGTTTGCTTATAATGTTGCTATTCATGCTTATGGAGCTGCAGATGAGGTTGATAAAGCCCTGAGTATTTTCATGAAGATGCAAGATGTGGGGTTAGAGACAGACCTTGTTACTTACATTTATTTGGCGTTTTTTTATGGTAAAGGGTCTATTAAAATATGGCGACATGGAACCTAACCAGTCTCTTTACACGGCATTGATAGATGCTTACTTAAATGCAGGCAAGGATGATCTTGCAAAATTGGTTGATCAAGAGATGCGGTTTAGCATTTATGCTGAAGATGGCAGTGAATCAGGAGTTGAAGATGATTAATGATTGTGTACTTCTTAGTGTTCCTTGGACGAGTAGGGTTCTAAATTTTTATCCCCTATGCTTCTATGAGAATGTTGTTGAATAATGTCAAAATATGGAATATTCCATTTCCCGCTAGATGTTTTCTAAGCCTATTATTTATAAAGTGTGACTATTGTTAAAATATGGGGACATGGACGCTAACCAGTCTCTTTCCAAGGCATTGAGAGATTCTCACTTAAATGCAAGCAAGGACGATCTTGCAAATTGGTTGATCGAGAGTTGTGGTTTAGCATTTATGTCGAAGATGGCAGTGAATCAGGAGCTGAAGATGATTAATGATCGTGTACTTGTTACATTCCAAGAACTAGTATGGTTTTAATTTTTTATCTCTATGCTACTGTGGGAATGGTGTTCAATAATGTCAAAATTTGGAATATTCCACTTCCTGCTTGATGTTTACGAAGTCTATTTTGTTTATAAAAGTGCGACTATTGTTGACCTCCAAGGAAGACAGACTATGCTGGTAGAGGATTGATATTTTTGAATTTACAGTGGTTGACACGGAGTGGCTTGGATTTGTTGGTACAACTTCATTGTCCAAAGACTTAACTACCAGAGGCGTCCTATAGGAGACTACTGCTGGGTTATAGCCTTAATAGGGTGCCTTCATATAATGTGTCAAGGTGGTATGCAAAATATTAAATATTTAATTTGCAAATGGCTGCATTTCTCTGAGGTGCGAGGCATTTGGAGTGACATTTAGTACAGTCACACTTGTAATCATTTCTGATTTCTGTAAACTGGTATCTTCTAAAGTGGTAGCCCTTTCCACAACTATGGGAGCTTTTTTTTTCAGTCATAAGATGGTACCCTTTTAAACAACAGAAAGTGAATCAACAGAATAGGTGACAAACTGGAAACTTTCAGAAAGTGAATCACAATACGTGAATCAATAGAATAGGTGACAAACTGGAAACTTTCAGAAAGTGAATCACAATAAGAGGATTTCTGTGAAGTGTGAAGTATTGACATGAATATGCATCATGTGATACTCAGAAAGTTTGGATTAAGATATTTGGACTGTAATAATGGATCTCTTGCAAGGCACGGATCTTTTGCTTAGGGCTTTTGGTTACTTGATGCCTGGAGATATGTGAGAATCTTTGACTCCGTGAAAGTCTCTTATTGCTAAGTCAATCAGTGTGCTGATTTATCTGCCAATAGAGGTTGATTCACTGAGGCGTATGGACTTCAAATTTCCTTCCTGAACTGTTGTTTGCAAAGAAGATTGCTAACAGGTCAGAGGTTTCTCCCATAAGATGTAATTTTTTTTATTATTACTTTCCACTTGGTCAAGAAAAACGTTATCAGGAATCTGTAGGACCACAAGGGTTTTAATTGTGTTTAAAAGCTATTGTAATGTTATATTGTTCTAGACCAATTATGCAATACAATTTTATTGTGAGAAATTTTTGAAAAAGGCTCGTTTCGTAATTTTATGAGCAATCAACATTTTTGTGTTTTAACTAGCAAAATCAACCTCTTTTTGACCACATTATCACTGCTGGCCAAAAAGAGATCGATTTTGCAAAATATAATCTTCAAAATACATGGACTAGTAGTCTCATGTATTTAGAGGTTGTTAATTAAGAAGTAACCACTTCTATGTAGTTCCGTTTACACATAAGCAACTAACTAGTTGGTAATTAGTTATTGTTAAATACACGGGACTACTTGTTAAATACACGGGACTAGTAGTCCCGTGTATTTTAAACATTGTAGTTTGCAAAATTGACCTCTTTTGGCCAGCTATGATGACGTGACAAAAAAGAGGTCGATTTTGCTAATTAAAACACAAAAAGGTCGATTTTGCTCATAGAATTGCAAAATGGGTCTTTTAAAAAATATTCTCCATTTTATGTAGGTTAATAAGATAGGTAACTCCTGTCAGAATCTAGATCATAAATTCATTGTGCCTTGTTTGGTCATAAGTAGAAGTGAGTATGATATGTTTCTGTTCCTTATTTATAATATGAAATGGAGTTTACTGTTATTTAACATTTGATGTCTAGCTTCAGATAGTTCCCACCCCCAACCCCCACTCCCATCAACCTTCTTTTAAATAGTGCAAAATGAAAAGTTGAAAACTGAGTGTTTGCATCCATGTTTATCACTGTTTCTTCATCAAATTAACACGACAACAGCAGCGACAACAACAAAAACAAATCCTTTTATTCTGATTTTTTTGGCAGACTACATGAATCAAATATTTTTTGTTTAGCTCTGTTTACCTCCTTTGCTAAATTAATCACTATTGTATATTTCTTAATTACTTTTAACCAAATTCTCTTAATCTTATCTCTAGTCTTCCTTGCTCCATTAATTTAATCTTATCACCTCACTTCATTTGTGCATTTTGTGGCCTAACCATTAGTCGATTCTCTCTCATTTTATACTCAATGGAGAAATCTCTAACTTCTTATGAGTATGCTCATTTCTTATCCTATCTCTTAATGTATATCCACAAGTCTTGTAGCGTTCTCATTTCTGCAATTTTTATTTTTTGCACATATAGTTTCTTATGTTTCCCGACGGAATGATCCATTTAAGTAATATATTGTATGATTCTCTTGTCTTGAACATAAGATTGATTGTATTGTTGTATGACTCCTATTTATTAAAGCAACAACACACACTCTTCTTTTCCTTCTATAAAATCTATGAAACTATTCTAAGAAGAAATATATGATGAATAGTTAGTTGCATCAAGTGAAATTGTACCACAAGTGTCACCTAGAAGTACAAGGAGTCTTAGATCTCTCCTAATGTTACCTAAGTTCGGTAGAACTGAGGAGTGATCAAGGAATCGCTTGGAGGTTTTCACAGTCTGCCAATTCTGTACGTGATAATTGAATAAAGTTGTTAGAAGAAAACACTAGAATGTTTCCAGTGTTGGATTCTCGCCAATGGCATAACTGTATGAAATTAGTGGAGATGCTATAATCTCTAAGGGTGAGAAGTTTTAAATGAATACATGGAGATCATCTTCAATCAAGATAAAGTTTATAAGCTTTACAGAACCTACCAAAACAAAAAGCCTTATAAAGTAATGTAGAATAGATGAGGCATCATTTTCTGAGGCTCCTTAGTTGCTGCGATATAATCTATTACGGTTGGTACAATTCTGACCAATGCAAGGCATTAAGGCATTTTCTAATACCTCGACGTTCTATGAGCTTGCTTATAGGACAAATAGATAGTTCGATAGTTCTACAGTCAACCGAGGGAAAATGGTCCATAATTCAAATGTCATTAGGAAGGAAACATAAAAGGGTTCATAATTTGAATGGCTGATTGTCTTCAGGTGCCCTAATAAGAAAACCCTGCATGACTTTGTAATTCTTAACCCAAAAACCATATGGGAAGCTTGGTCTGTAGTCCAGTCTCTCAGTCAGTGACATATTTCTGCATAAAGAAACTTGCAAGTTCTGTAATCACTAATCAGAGCAGGCAATTTGAGAAAACTAAGCTCAAATGCTAACAAACATAAGAAAGATTTATTTATTTATTTATTATTAGAATTAATATAAAACTATAATTCTCTACTCTCACCATAACTTCGGAGTTTTAATGTAATGGTTAGAGGGATTAAATCTAAGATGGTATCAGAGCAACCCATGTTTAAATCCCACCAGCCATGAATTTTACGCGGATTTTCTAAAAAATTGACACTTCTACGTGAGTCCAGGTTCCCCCCATAAAAAGGGTGTTCAACCTGTGGGGGCATATTAGAATTAATATAAAACTATAATTCTCGACTGTCATCATAACTTCAGAGTTTTGGTCTAATGGTTAGAGGAACTAAATCTAAGAATTATATATCTTTTGTTATGTACAAATAAATGTTGTGGATCCCTATATATTGCTGCCAACATTTAATAGCTATTTTGTTACAATTTATCATTATAAATTAATATGGGGACATGATATTTTGTTACAATTTATCATTACAATTTATATTTTATAGCCTTCAGGAATTTACAGCATGTGTTCAGTCCGGGACATGGTCAAAAGGAAGTGTTAAAGCCTAGATTTATACAATTTAGTTTCCTGCCTATAAAGTTTCTATTTACTGGAAATTTAACAAGATAAGGATCAGTTTTGATTACACTATTATTGAAATACCAATGATATTGTTATCATCAATGCAAATTATTTAATTATCACAATATTGCATTAAAAAAAATCTTCTTTACTTGTCTATTGATTTATAGATACCAAACTTTCTGAAGATGTGAAGAATAAATAGCATGGCTAGCTGGAAGAGGAACTGAGCAAGTTCATGTTTTTGTCCTAACATAGTTCTCTGCTAACCATAATTTCAAGCTCACAGGCTTCTGATAATCTCCTTCTATGACATGTAAAAGCATCTGGTACTTTCTCCTCGACATGCACTGCACCTGAAAAGAAGAAGAGAAAAATCTGGATGCTGTTCTAGGAAGCTTGTGGGCCCATGTAGTTGGTCTTCTTTCTCTGGATGCATGGGGAGGTCAATGCATGTTTTCTCCTATTTCCTTTTCCCCCCTTGAATTAATGCTTTTTGTTGTTTCATTCTAACCATATTAGTGTCAAACACAAGGTGTTGCAGGCTAGTAACGTTACTGGTTATGTCACATGCTTCTTGTGTTGCCATTCTTCTTCTCTTTAGCAAGCCTATTAATGTCGGTTCATTCAACCTTTCCCCATTCACTAACTCCATATTTCTTAATTCTATTCATCCTCCTATCCTCACCATGGACAACAAGAGAAGGAGCAATCTGAGCTTCCTCCATGACTTCATCATTCAACGCATCTTCTTCCTCCCAACAAAAAATCCATCAGAACCTGCATTCTCTCCAAACAATTTTACAATACTTGGGCCTTTGTTCCAGTTGTGAATTTTTCCGTTGCTTCTGATCAGAGCCTCGTCAATGATAGTGTTAGCTTGTGTGTTGATTATACAATAGCTTACGATATTCAAGAAGCAGAGATCAACCTTAACTGGGAAACCGATGCCGAGATACTTGAACTTCTCTATCACTGCCAATCCCTTGAGTCTTTGACTCTTAAAGGCAGTTCTTTTCTGCCCTCTCCAGCTGCCAGAACCCCTTACTTGCTATTTTCACAATCTTAGAATCCTAAACCTCGTGCTTAGCAATCTAGTTCCTGCGGATTCTATGTGGAAATCATATCCAACTGTTGCAATCTAGAACCCCAGTTCTTGTTGCTGTGTGCTTTGAGCTTATTAAAAAATTTGGGCCCAGTCTTAGGATTGGAGTTCTCTTTTCTCCGTTGTTTCAAAGTACTTGTTATTTGCCCTGTGTTGAGTATTTCACACTTGAGATTGGAGAAAGACTGGAGCATTTTCATAATGATATACCTTGTTTGCGAAAGACGGAAATTGTAATGCCTGCTATCAACTCTGAGAGTTATTTGTTTTGGCTCCAACTCCCAACTTCTTAAAGGTGTTATGTATGCATCTAGTCATCACTTCATTTATGTAGATTATATGGTATGATTCATTATTACCTGATATGGAATTTCTGTAAGTACCAATGTTTATGTCAATATAAATGTACTTCACTTCAGAAGAAGGTAAAGTTGAGTTGCTTGTAGGAGATTAGTATATCTTTGTCTGGTTATTACAAAAGTACTGGGGAAAAAAATGAATACAGTTTGTATCGCAGTATTTCTTGCAATACCATTGAAAATTTCTCTTCCACATGATAATGAGAATTCAAATTAAATTTCATGCTTCATGCCTTCTTTCATTTCATTGTCTTTTCCTTATTATTAATTATTTTATCAACTGAGATGTAACTAGAAACTGAAATACAATTTAGTGGGATATTCTATTCCTACTTGTAAATTAAGAAACTTATTTCCATAATACATAATGTTCATGCTTCTCAATTCTTTGAATTTAGAAGCGCTAACATGCAACTTTGAAGTTGTGTTACTTATTAGAGCTTACTGTCTCTATTTTGTTGAATTGCTGTCGGAACACCGATCACTTTTGAATTGTCTGCAAAGATGATCCACCTATCAAATAAAATGTTTGAGCCTCCACTGGAAAGCAAATAACAAAATTTCTTTGATGAGCATGTCTTAAGAGCATATTTTTTTTAACCTTCTAGTCTGTGCTGTAAGAGGTAAACCTATGACAGAAAGGGGGGAAGTGGAGGCGCCACGCAAGGCACTGAGAGTAGAATAAACTGGCTCATTCTGGTGCATGTAGGAATCTAAGCTTTTGACCAGGAGAACTTGCATTGTATGGTTATTTTCACTATTTAGAAAACATAGGAGCTGGCATATTGTAAGATGTGTTAATTGAGTAATTCAAGTTTCATCATTGTAGCTTGTATCATGCCAAATAGTTCTAATACACTAGCTGAGTGATGGTAAAGCATGTGATTATGTTGTCAAGCAACTATGACCTATGGTCGTTATCCTGCTATGCGTTTGGATTTAAATGGATTCTATATCTGCATACCTAACAACAATTCTTGTATGTTTTGATCCAATGGATCCAGTTTTATCCAATCAAATTGATCTATATAACCATGGAATCTTTTACCAACTACAAAAGATAATACAGTGAAATACTCAGATGATTATTATTGATTAGAAGACAGTGCTATATAGAGATACAAGCAATCCAATACAAATTCTATACGGGGAAGAGCTAAAATAGGATATTTCCATATCATGGGAACAGAGTCCTTGCGTCACTGTATGAGTTGAATATTAGTTACCGGTTTTGAGCGTATCGGATAAAGTCCTTGCCTATATAAATCCCCTTCATGTTTTTATTTCTGCATCATGATTTGGATCAGGACGTCAAATTTATCCGGAATCATAGCGTTGAAGGTATGCATAACACTCTTAAGTGACCTGAGCTCTACAACATCGACATCAACTGCTTATTCTATTGCATTGTCAGCCCTTCAACCTAATTAATTGGAAAGTGCAATATGGGCATTGTTTGCATGCATTAACCACTGCAATGGCATCCATTTCTCTTTCTTTTGTGTTTCTGTCCATCAGCTACTTGATTCTGTCCACAAATTTGAATTTCCCTGTATTAACCATTTCAGGCATTGTCTGTGTGTAAAAGCTTGTACTATGTTGTTCACTCGAAAAAAGAAACAAGGCACTATTTTTTGCTTCAATAAAAGGAACTATTATTTATTGGCCCTTATCAAAGATTTGGATGCAGTATCTCGGATCAAATTTACACCTGTATTTCTGTATACTATAATTTTTTTCTCTCTCTTTGTTTCCCTTTTAGTTTCTGTAGTTACAACATTTCCTTATCTGCTTAAGATTGGCTGGACTTCACTGATGGCAGTTATTCTAGTTCTCAACAGGGAATCTGCTAGACAACTCAGACTAATGCCTGCCAACATTCCCAAATCTGTCGGCTTTGCAATTAGGCACATGCTTTCATAATGATCATATCGCGTTCATTGTTAATTTTCTTTAGGACACTCCAAATCTCGAACTTCTTTGGATAAACTTTGAGGTAAGACTCTAATTGTTTGGCAAAGTCATTGTGTTTTGGGTATTTTAAATCAACTGAATATTCTGCTTTGCTTTCTGTAGCTTGCGCGTTGCTGCGAGGATAAGACTACAGTGGAAGTCGAAAGTAGTCAGTCTGAAAATTCTACTTAATCTCATGGGTGCGACATAAATGTTGAAGATGATATCAGCAAAATCATTGAAATTGTCTGCTTTCTGGCCTCCAATGTAAGTGTATGGGGGTGAAGTGGCAATGCATATTAGAACTCTGTCGGTTGGTTTAGTGTAGTTATAGACATGTGTCACTAAACTTATTTTTTAAAATTAGTATATTTCCATGAATCTTTCTCAATTTGTTTTGAGCCTGTTTGCATGGATACAGCTCAACGTATTTTCTCATATATTTGGCATTGTTAAAAAGGTTTCTTTACTGATCTTGACAAAATCCACAAAATGCTAGAAAAGCTTTAAGGCCCTTATGTTGAAAACCCTTGTATCGAGGAAAGCCACATCTCCTGGTTAAAATTGGTTGACAAGGAGATTCTGAAGGGGGTGATGAGGTTTATAATTGAAATCATGTTAGATATCTGCATGTGGATCCAATCCCAAGTAAGAAAGTTTTCCTTTTATAGATGGCATTCAGCATGTCACTGTGCAAACATAGTGAATACGGGCTGAATCACCAAATTGGTATTTTAGTAGGAAACACTATACAATTTGGTGTTTGTGGTTCCTCTGGTAACATCAAGGTGGTAGTAATGATTTTTCACAGAAAATTTCAAATTGGAAAGTGTGTTCTACTAAAATACCCATTTGGTTATTTGGCCGCTGCAGAAATTGGATATTTACCTTAATGTTGCAGGAAAAAGTAAAAATACCAAGTCGAAAAATGTGTTCTACTAAAAGTACGAGTTGGTAATTTTGCCATTGAATAAGCATGCAATTAATGTGTAATGTACATGGTCATCTTCGTAGAGTCATTAATGATCCCTGGGTTTCTCTTTGTCACGTTCTTTCTCTAAAAAAATTTTTTGCCTGCTTTTGTCCTAAAGCACTCTAGGAATCGTCAGAAATTTTAGGTACTTCGTAGTTAGCTTAGGGGTTCCTTTTAAAGACCACTGGCCCACAGGCATGAAATCCTGTTTAATGAATAAAAACTGTATGAAATTACTCAAGATCACAAAACTAATAAATGAAGATAGTAATAATTTTGATTTCTGATACTCTGACACGTTTCAGCGAAAAGATAGTGTATCTGAGGATAAATTGGTACATCAAGTAATGGATGAAATTACATTTAGATATCTTGTGAGTTTAGCAGTATATGAAAAACTTGATATGCGTCTAATGAACGTAGTCACTGCTTATTTATATGGAACATTAGATAATGATATCTATATGAAAATCCCCGAAGGATTTAGCATGCTTGAAGCATGTAAATCAAATCCTAGAGAAATGTACTCCATTAAGTTGTAAAGATCTTTGTATGGACTCCAGCAATCTGGACGAATGTGGTATAACCGCCTTAGTGAATGTTTAGTTAAAGAATATTATACAAATGACCCTATATGTCCATGTGTTTTCATAAAGAGGAACGGGTCAAATTTTGTGATCATTGTTGTATATGTTGATGACCTTAATCTGATTAGAACTCCTGAAGAGCTCCAAAAGGCGATTGAATATTTGAAGAAAGAATTTGAGATCAAAGATTTTGGGAAAACCAAAATTTTCCTTGGTTTACAAATTGAGCATTTAGAAAATTGGATTTTTGTTCACCAAACTGCTTATATGTAAAACCCCGTAAAATAGAGTGAATAAATTTTTATTGTGAAATATATATTTATATCATAGATAAATGTGATAACAAGTGTTTGGAGATCAAACAAGTGTATATATGTGAGAGAAATCAAGTGGATAAGACCAGCACACAAACAAACATGCACAAACAGGGGATTCCCTATCCGGTCGACCGTGGCGGTCGACCGCTGAGCGTGCAGGCGAGCAGAAAACTTTTTGCTTCCTGTGCGGTCGACCGTGACGGTCGACCGCCGAGCAGTTTTTGTTTTGGCCCAGTTCGGGTCTGTTCGGGTTTTGGTTCGGGTTTAGCCGTACGTATATAAGCTTCTTCACCCGAAAACCTCCCTCTTTCATCAGTCCTAAACCCTAACAACCCCCTCTCCCCTCTCAAACCCTAAACCTCTTTCATTGGGCGATTTTTGGAGGAGGGCTAACACGAGATCTACCGGTGTTCAGCGAAGGAGAATCTTTCCCACACGTTTTTGGGAGTTTATCATCACCCCTCAGGCGAGTTTTATCTCGCCCAACCCTGCACACATGTTTTAAACGATTTTTATTGAGTTTTCATATGGTTTTATTGAGCCAAAAATGCTATTTTGTGTGTATAGATAAATCTCTATAGTATATGATGTAAAGACTAAAGTTTTGGCTTATAAAAATCCACTAACGAATTTCTTAATGCAGATCTAGATATGAAAATATTTCTAACAAGAGTTTTAAATGAAATATTCCTGCTTTCATATGTTTCGACATGTTTATACGTATTCATGAATGATTTCGATTTATCTAAAGTGTTCAGAACCTTTTTCCACATGTTTTAGAAATGCTAAATCGTTGATAGAGGGTTGGTAGTGTTCGAGATTTACATATGAAAGTTTTTATATCAAAACCCTTAGAGCAAAAAACCTGCAAAAGGTTTTCTGCACCTGAGCGGTCGACCGTGGCGGTCGACCGTCGGGCGCGTAGCAAAAGCAGGAAGCTTCTGTTTCCTACGCGGTCGACCGTGGCGGTCGACCGTTGGGCGCGCAGATGAGCAGAGACTTTCTGCTCACAATGCGGTCAACCGCAGATATTCGGTGGTCGACCGTGAGACCTGTTTGTGCATGTGTACGTCGTTTGCGTGCGGTAGTGTGGCTGGCGAGACACCTAGGTTATATGGGTTCGTTATATACTGAGATTGGTGTACATGAGTTGACTATGGACATGGGTCTTAGATTTATTCACTGGGGTATGAGAGTGAATGGTATATATGCTTTTGCTTGTATTTGTTCAGTGTATGATATTAATCGTATGCAGTCCATGCGTTGG